AGCAAAGGGATTCTCCTCCACTGTCCCCGTTTTGCATTTTGGTCCCTCAAAGGACAGGCAGCTCCTACTGTGAAATATAAGACTGTGAAGTGCCACTACCTTTGACCTGACCTGTAGGTTTCAGCCCTGACCTGTGATTCAAACCTTGGGGTATTGTTACTGTAGCACAGCCCCATATTCACTCCCTGTACCGCTCTGCCCATAACTGCAGGAAAACAAAACCTGAAAAGCTACTTTGTACCTCAGAATCCATTGCTGGAGAACACTTGCAATGCTTTATTTCCTCCAACATCAGTTGGAGTCTGGGGTGTGAGAAAAGGGTCCCAGAAGTCCTTGTTCATTCATGGTTTCCATCTCCCAGAACCTCAAGAACTGCCCCTATGCCTTAGGTTTATCATTTTACAGAGAAAAAGATTTTTTGCCACATGATAAATGCAGAGGTAACATGTTAGCAAAAAAAGCCAGTGAAGTTCTAAATCACCATCTACTTTGGCTTCTATACAGCAGGTTCAAACTGCAGACGTTTTTCTTTTATGGACCCCACAGAGAAAAGCCAGTTATTTCAAGAGAAAGGAATGCATTAATGTCTGCACTCCGTAGTTATTCATTAATATTTTTCTTGCATTGCTTCCATAGTTCTAAACACCCTATGCTTCATAAAAGAGAGGGGGAAAACAAAAAGCCAAGGAAAGCCATTAAGCTTTTCAGGACTAAAGCACCAGACTTCAAGACTAGGACACATTTCCACCGATTACTGTGGGAAAAAAGATGGAACTGGGCCAGCAGCACCCAACATCACTGTGGCATTAACAGCCTTCTGCAAACAGACAGTCCCATGGAAATCTGTGGAGCTTTTGTGTTTCATGCAGTGATGGATTATGCGCAGCTGTCCCTGATCCATCCCAACAGCAAGCCTGGAATACACCTTTGGGGTCGGACTCCAGCCAGAGGCCGGGGCCTCTCCACCACTGAGTCATACCCCTTCTGTCTGCATGACTTCCACCGCAAACTGCACATCAGCTGCTTCCTGGGCCGCCCGAGCTAATGACAACCCAGTTGGCACTCAGTCACTGTCCTTTTACAGAGCTTCATTCTGCTCCAAATGATGGCAAAGATTCAAATCATCCAAACAGACTCCAGCTCCTCTGCAGGGCAAGGCTTGCAGAGTTCTCAAAAGCAACCAGCAGTATCTCAATTCTTGATGCTTTCGCTGGTCGGGGGAAAAACATAAGCTTCACATCTCTCAAAGAAGAGATCCCAGCTCCTCTTCTTTCCTAGAGGCAGGAACAGGAGTTCTCTTACAGGCAGAACAGAACAAGAAAGAAGTTAGGGCTAAACCTGCACTCGGTGAGCACCACAAACCCCCTGGTCCCACTGGTGTGGCTGGGGGAGGCTGCCTTAGTTCTGCCACACCCTGGAAAGCAGGACGGGAAATGAGATCTCCTGTCTCATGGTACAGCTATTGCAAACGCAGGGTCTGATGAGCTGTTACCACAAACACAGTGGGAAAGAGAAAAGAAAGTGAGTAAGGATAACTTTATGTGAGTAAATTAATTTTTTTATATTTCCCCCCACACATTCTTGTGATAAGCCATCATGCTCCCCAAAGCACCAACAGATTAAATCCAGCCATCAGATCAAATCTGCAGGAGCTTGACTGAGCCAGTTTGATGACACCTTCTCCTGCTTTTACTACAACAACACGAGTACCTGAGAAGAGAATGTTTCAAATTTCTCTGGTCAAAGACAGTTCCTTCAGAGACAGGCATATCTCAAAGTGTGAAGCTGCCTTGAGGAATACTGGACAATGCTTAGCATAAATCCAAGAGCCAACTGCAAGCAAGAAGGGGAACACGTATCTGATACATGCTATTGTGGGGGGACATTTAGTCCTTTGTAGTTATTAAGAAATAAAACTACACTGGTCAATCAATGAGGAGGCTGGGAGAAAAGTCATCTTTAGCAGCGGGTATACAACCACCCATATTCTTAAGGTATAGGATTTGTATTGCAAATCCAGAGCATCCTATTCTCATTCAGATTGGGAAGATTAATTTTATGATAATTCAACACAGTTAAGAGAACTCACTGGGGTTTTACTTGCATGTAAATATATTCCTTGAGGCTTATGCAAAACTGATACACAAAGGCTCCTTCTGGTGGATTTCAGCAGCATTAACCAAGAGGTTGGAATGGAGCAGCTGCAGATCAGCAAACCGAGTGTCCTGGGTTCCACTGAAAGTGAGAAGGTGGCACTGCAAGACTATCCAGGCACAAAACCATGTAGAAATAGTCCCTGCCTGAAGGAAGGAAGTAAAAACAAATTGTGGCAGGAAGTTATACCTTCAAGAGCACAAGAGCAGGACAGAGATGGGGAAAGAGTAGCAGGGGAAATGTTCCCTGTTTCTTGTCCTCTGCAAAGCCCCAAAGTCCTTTCTGTTCTTGTCCCTCCCTTGGTAGTGAAGCTCTGTGGTACTCTCCTTATATACTTGTTTGAGCACTTCCCTTTCTTTCACTGATGTCTTTAGGAGAGCTGGGTTGAGACATGCCAGGTCTGATCAGAAAGCCAACTTCCCTCATTTCTTAGGAGACTGATGGGCTTTATTTTTATAATGTAGCTACAGTGGAGCTCTGACCTTTTTCAGTTGCTGCAGTTGCTTAGCCAAGACTTCATTGCTGTAGGGCAGTGCCCTTCAGTTTTGCCATGGATACCCACTTACTGCTTGTTGCAACAACAGCAGAAGAAACATCCCCCTTCGAAGCTCCACAGTTAAATAAGTTAGCTGGAGAGAGAGGGATCTACTGTGGGAACTGTTTGCTTTGTTAGTTTTACTAATGCTCAGTCTGGATGCTGGCCACCAGCTAGGCTGTGAACAGGAGCAGTGCTGGGAGATCTTGAGGGAAGCTGCATTCAGTGGCATTTGGTTTAGGTTATAGCAGGAAGTTCTGCATCTGGGCCCGTGGTCTCAGATTTTCTGCTTTGGTGCCCTGAACACACCGTAACCATTGCTTAACCCAGAGCTGCTGCCACAACAGGAATTGAAAAATTATCCTTCTTTGGGCCACTTCTAACAACACAGTTGAGTAGAGGATGTTCCCAATCAGGATTGCTTTTTGAATAGGCTTTTGCTTCTGTAGGAATTTTCTAATAGGACTATTTCCTCTTCTGAAATATTTCAGAACTGAGTGAACTCTGTTTCCTTTTGCTGGCTAAACTAGTTACACACAATC